CTGTGGTAGATATCATCTCATTTTCAGGAGGATAATCACAAACACAAAACATGCAGATATTGCAGCCATGACAGCATCACAATTATTATTGCTTAGAGCAGCAACATTACAAAAGAAGTGGAGGGCGGGGAGTATCCACTTTAGGAAAGTGTTCATAAATATTTTGTCTTTGTATATATCAAAATTTGCATTGTGTTCAATGATTCAGAATTAATAATCTTTTTATTCTAAAATAATTACAGAAAGGATAAAGAACAAATAGGAAATGTTTACAAATCTAAATTTCCACTTTTATTAAAGCTTCAGAGAATAATAAAAGTGAAACATGTTAAATTTATAAACATTTCTTTTCTTTATCCTATTGTTGAATAATTTTAAAAAAGAAGGAACAATAGAGAGGAAAACTGGATCAGGAAGTCACAAGAGCAAGAAGGATTATCATTTCAACTTAGAGCTAAATGCATTCTTATTGTTCAAAGTAGAGTCCAATAGTGTTACAAAAACCTTGGTAAGAAACCTCCAGTCAGATACCTTTAATCATTTCTAAGATACAATAGTTCAAAGATTAATCAAGCAACTGGACAATTTTGACATTAGACCATATATATATATATATATATATATATATATATTACATACACACATACACTTTATTATACAATATTACATACATAAAACTTCTATATAAATGCATTCAGATTTCGATGCATATCATCGCATCTCATCAGGCAGTAGTAAATAAGGGTTATTACAATTTTTAATATAATCTTTTTCCACGAAAAAAGAAAAGAAAGGAAGACAGGTATAAGAAAAAAAAGAAAGAAAGACACACGATATTTCTAAAAAAAAAAAAAAAAAAAAAAGACACAGGATATAGTAAAAAAAAAAAAAAAAAATAAAAATAAAATGACAGAAAGAAAAGGAAAGAAAAGAAAGACAAGACAGTCTCTTCTAAAAAAAAGAAGTAGAAAAAATAAAATAAGAGCAAGAAGAAAAAGACATGGGGAGAGAGTATGTCAAAACATGAATGCATTTATGGAGCAGTTTTACATATGTTCGGATGTAATATCATATAATAAAGAATATTGCTCTACTATTGTATTTTTAAGTTAATGTTATCAACGTTTGAATTTATATTTGATTCATTCTCATTTCATGTGTGTATTTTCAATGATAATTATATATATATATATATATATATATATATATATATATATATATATATACACACACACACATACTAAATAAAACTTAAAATAAAAAAAAATAAAATTTTCCTTGTCTGTCATTCAATGAAATGTTTAAAAGAAAGGTTGCTGCCTATATATATATATATATATATATATATATATATATATATATATATATGTATGTATGTATCTAAACTAGTAGGTAGAAATGATCATTTTGAGGTAAGACAAAAGGAAGGAATAATTTTGCAACCATGAATCCAGAATATATTTTTAAGAACACGTAACCACTGGCTTATTTGTATTAAACACTGTGATTTGTATGATTCTTTAATTAAAGTATGCAAAATTCTGTTGATGCTAATGACAATAAAACATTTAAACATTTATTTTTTTTTTTTTTTTATTAGTAACACTTTTTTCTAAATAAAAACTGCTTTGATATTTATGTAGATGTTAATTAAGCTTCACTTAAAATTAAATTGGTTTCTCCCACCATTTTTTTTTTTTTTTTTTAAATCAACTCACCCCAAGCAAGATGATAATGCCATGAGGATTTAAGGGGTTACTGAAAGTGAAAAAGAATAAAACTTTAGAAGGAACTGGAAACCCAATCTTAAGCAGGGAACAGTAGAAAACCCTTAATTCTGTTCAAAAGACTGAACAAGAGTGTGAAACTGACAGTAGGTGAACATAATGATACTGATATAATTTTGTTTTTATCAAATTTAAGATATCTCTTAACATATTTGGTGGCATATCATATTCCCTTACAAAGGTATGAATCTCTTCTCTCCCCAGCTGTGGATTAATTAGTAAAACTTATCAGTTCAGTAAATCATTATCTTCCAAAATTCTTACAATCTAAAAATATATTCTGGTTTTAAATAACCTGCAAAAGTTAATAAGCTGTATAAAAAAAAAAAAAAAAATCAATCTAAATTTCACAATACTAAACCTCCAACAACCTCAAAGTTAAACAGATTTCATTTTATGTGCGTAATATTCTGAATCTTGACTTTTCTGAGCTTGATTTTAAAATCTATAATAGACACATGACAAATGTGTGTGCATGCTTTAAACATTAACAAAGATAAATGAAGGATTTTTAGATATTAAAATTATATTCACTTGTTTGTTGCAAAAAAAAAAATTAAAAAAAAAAAAACAAATAAATAAAAAATAAAAATAAAATAAAAAATAGCATTACATTGAATAAATAAAAGTTTCTTCTCATATGTGATATCTTTGATACAAACATAAAACTATGTTGAGAAAGTTTTTTCCCCTCACTTTAAAACTTCAACTTGTATCATTTTCAAGTAAAGTGACTGTGTCAATGATCTCAACTCCCAGTATAAAAAAAAAGAAATGAGAGAGAGAGAGAGAGAAACATGAACTGTGGTAAACAATCAATTATGAAACTGCGGATCCATAACTGATATTCACAAATACCTTGAAAAAGCGGAAGGAGGAGATAATGAATTATTTTGTATGGTGACTTACAATGTGCTTCATCTTACACTTATGCAATAATTACTTCTTTGCACAAATGAAAACAGATTTTATAATTTCCAAAGTCTATGCTTGAATAAGGTTACAACCTGATGCGAACACTTAGCACTATAACAGTTTTTTTTTTTTTTTTAATCTGCTGCACCCAAAAGAATGGTTTACTGTAATATATTAAACAAAATATTTATTTCTTACAGTAAATGGTATAGAAACTCAAAGTTCCTCTCTCCCCAGAAAAAAAAATCAAATCATTTTAATTGTTAGTTTTGCTACTGTTCTATTTTTACCATTAATGACCAAATAACTAAATGTTTCTCTAAGATTCCAGAAGAAATCTGAAGTACTTTAGGTCAAGTGTTTTACAGCTGGATTTAATTTCCCTGAAAGAACAGGAGATCTCTTGTTTCCACAGACACATTAGGCATATGTAAATTTCAGTTTGGCATTTCCAAAGTTTTGTTTTATCCACCTTCACTAATTTTAATCTCAGAGCTGAGACGAGGAGTACATATTAAATAGACAAAAGTTGGCTACAAGAGTTGTTTTTTGTTTTGTTGTATTAATACAACAAGCAATTTACCAGGGCCATGAGTTGAAAAAAGGGATATATATTTAAATTTATTAATGGTATTAAGATCTAGAATATCTAGTAATGTAACAATACACCAAATGTATTTGTATATTTTTGTCTATGTTGTAACTTTTAGTGTCACCAGGGCAAAGGATTTAACTTATCTCCCTTGCACTAAAAACTGTTCAAATGAATCATGGAAAGAAAAGATTATCTTTATGAAATTTAGAAATGTCTGAACAGCTTAACATGCAAATTGGTAAACTATAATTAGCAAAATATATTAAATGTAAATGCTTCACAAATATATTTTGATTAAAGTAACAGTATTTTATATTTTTTTTTAACCCACTTGTAGCTGGTCTTAAGATTTTGATCAGGGGGTATAAGTACAACAGGGTAGTACTGAATCTTGTTCTTCATAATAATTGAGTGCACTATAGCAGCCAGTATGGTGTTTATATAGAATGTATAAAATATGTTTAAAAAAATTCCCTTTCTCTGCCATGAGCCTAGGAGTAAGAATCTCTGACTGATGTCAAATTCGTTGAGTTTTGATTCCAGCTTGAAACAATTGGATTCACACTAATGACCTGTGATACAGCAAAACAGGCTGTCTGTGCATTATATATATATATATATATATATATATATATATATATGAGAGAGATTTTTAGTGGTGCCTCTTTGGTGTAAAACATGAAATACTTCAAATAAAATTAAATATGGAAAAAAAAAAAAAAAAAAAAAAAAAAAAATGGATTAAAATTTTATGTTCAATACAAAAATAAAAAGTCTCATAAAATATTACAAAATAGAAGTGTGGCCCCAACTGACAAAATCAATAAATAAAAAAAATATATCATTCTACCCACTATCACAATGGAAGAGAATTTATCTAAACTAAACATAAAATGCCACAACTACATCTAAAACAATAAAAAAACTTAATACAAAACAAAACGGGCCAAAACTCGAATGAGGAATTCACTATCTTCTGCAAGGATTGCCAGAAAGAATATATTGGAGAAAGTTTAAATAAAAGATTATATGAATGTAAAAGAGACATCTTAAAAAACATTAAATGCATTAGTTATTCATTATAACAAAACTGACCACAATTTTGACATAAAAATTCTACTCTCATTAAAAGTGTTAAGAAAATGATGTAAACAAAAAGAATCTACATGAAACTGTCTAGATTATGTGACCAAAACATAGATAAAAAAAAATTTTCTTTCCTAAATTTAAAATTCCCAGCATTTCTCATTTGTGTGCATGTGTCACCATATCAACATAAGCAAACACAGTCAAGTTCTAAGGGATGAAACATGTCACACAAATCTTTTTCCACTTTGTCATACATATATATCTGTTGTGCACACACAGGCCGGTGGGGGCACTCCAAATGTAATGGTTATTTATTTCTATGAAGACTACAGCAAATACAAGGAGTATCATAACACCATTAGATAAAGCAATTTTTCAGCAACAAAAAAGAATTTTCCACATGATCACCATCATTGGCTCCACATTTTCAAAGTGCTCATCATTTTATGTCTTGACAGATGTGCAAGGCCATCAGGAAGAAGTCATACACATCACTGTGGCCAATAATGAAATCACCAATTCTAAAATGATTGGCCAACATAAAACTGAGAGGCACTTCTTTCACAATTACCATCATATGCAGCACTAAAGAGACAAAATATTAAAACACTTACCTTTATACCGCGATGAATAAACCCTCTTCTTCTCCGAGCCGGTCGTAAATGCAAGTACTCTTCTGTACTAGTGATGCTGATGTTCCAAACTTTACGCCATGCTTCATAGAGAGGTTCATGGACAGGGTAGACACCAGAATGATGTGGTGCCACAGCATAATTTGTTGTTACAGGGATTTTGTATTTCTAAACAATGAAGAAATAAATAAATATATGAATGAAAATCAACTTAAAAAAAAAAAAAAAAAAAAAAAAAAAAAAAAGAAAGAAAGAAAATATAAATGAATTTATACTATTATTTTTTTTTTTGTTCAAATTTGTCAAATGGATAAGATTAGAGTGCAGTAAATTTCCAAACCATTAATGATTTAGAATAACCAACATCATTAACTACATTAGTTAATAGTACTAACTCTCAAATTGTTAATAAAATATACTTATTAGAAAGCTGACAATTACTTATAACCAAATCAATTCTTGAAGATATTAAAATTATTAAACAAATTATAAATCATACTTATACAGATATGGGCACTTCGACATGGTGTAATGTTTAGAAGGTTTGTTTTGCTGGAACAATTATGACTTAGTAGCGAATTTGATCCTCACTGGGTGCCCCATATTTTCGACCTTGTGTCACATCTAAAGCTATTCTTAGAAAATTACCATGAATGTGAATGCTGGCTGTTATTTTAGGGCAACTCGACTTGGTGTAATGGTTAGCAAGTTTGTCTCATTAGATCAATTACAACTATATAGGGAGTTCGATCCTCACTGGATGCTCCATATTTCCGACTTTGTGCCACATCTAAGCTACACTTAGAAAATCACCATACTTATATAGATATACATACACAAGACATATTGGGTTAGCCAACAGGTTCATTCAATTTATTAAATAAAAAAAAATTATTTTTAACATACACTTGAACTGTTACATGATATCTGTCCCCCTGTATGGCAGTGAATGTTGGTCAATCTCCTCAAAGATGAAGAAGAGACTCAAGGCAACAGAAATGTGGTTCTACAGAAGGATGCTAAAGATCCTATGTGCCAAACATGTGAGCAATGACCAGGTTTTAGAGAGAACAGAAACAAAGAGGAACTTATCCTTAATATCAAGAAGAGGTAGATGAAATTTCTGGGATAGGTAATGAAGAAGGAGGGCTTGGAAAATCTGATACTCACAGGACAGATAGAAGCAAAGAGGGACATGGGAAAACAATGCATGACATACTTAATTGGCTTGAGCAAGTGGATGGCGAAACAGGTTCTGGGAGAAATAACAAAAAGTCAAAACTTTTAGGAGCTATAAGAGACAGAACGAGGTGGAGGGCCATGACTACCTACATCCTGAAGAGACATGACACATAAAAGAACTTAAACTACTTTCCATTCCATTATCTGCTATAACTTCATAATATCAAACTCCCAGAACATTTCTCAGCAAATAACTGTTTGAAATGCCTTTTGCAGCCTTCCAGAGAATTGACACATTTTTATTGAGAGAATTCAATGACAATTAGAATATATGGCAATCCAAAGGTGCAATATTTGATGGAGTGAATAAGTGAAAAAACTTCCTAGCTAAGTCATAACAATAACATGCAGGCTTGTGTTATCCTCATGGTATTAGGATCTGTTTAACTAATTCCAGGTGCTTTTTCTTGCCTTTAAAATGGTCTACAAAGAGCTACAATTGTTAAAAATCGCCTGTTTCTCAAGAAGGAGCACATAATAAAAGACTTTCTTCTAATCTTACCATCATATACACATCATCTTTCAATGACTAAGATAATCAAGCTGGTGATTTCTACCACCTAATTTGAGTATTTTGGTTATCATCTGCATCATATAATGTTGATTATTCCTCAAGTAATGACTTTATCGACATCAACCTAATGTGGAGCATCATTTTTCAAGAAATTTTCAGCAGAACTTTTGAAGTTATTTTTGACAGGTTTGATCAAACTGTCTTTCCTATAAATTGCATAAATCTATTTTTGCATTTCAGTGGCATTTTTACCTTTCTTAAAATAAGGTAACATAATATGCCAAAAATTTTACTTATTTTCTTTCAGCTTTAATAAATAAAATATGCCATTGATTTTAACAATTCTCTGAAAGATGCATACTGTTATGACAGTTGTCAATACATTTTTTAATGATGTCACTTAAACAAAATGAACTGAAGAGGGGAAAATAAATAAAAAAAAAAAAAAAAAAAAACTTTCTGGCCAACCAAACAAATTTTAGTTAATTATTTTATAGAAAGGATCTGATGCAATTGTCAAAAATTTTGGGTAGAAAATTAAAATGAGAAACTGACAAAAATTAAAAGCAATGATAGCTTGTAATTGTCCGCCCTATCTAAAATTATGTAGACATCTTTCATTTCTTTCTAACTCAGTCAAGCACTAAGTATTGCCTAGACTGAATACATTTAAAACCAAATAAAGTTAGAAATAAAATTTCTTAAAAATGATGCTACATGCTAAAATTTGTAATAGTAGATCATATGGCTATTTATTTATTTGGCTTGTCTTTCTGCAAAGATGAGAGGAAAAAACATTTATCCATTTTTTTTTTTTTGTTTAATATCAAATTTTATTCCATGATAGAAACTTTCCAGCCACTTTTAAAATACCTGTATAAGCCAGATTATAAAATAACTTATGTAAAACAAATCAATATTAATGTTATATTTCAATACACAATCATAAACAGAAGCAAAAATTATTAAAGACACAAGATCACCTTTCAGCACATTTTAAATAGATTAAATCATATCCATGTAAACATTATAATAAAAATCTTTTTTTAATTGACATTTTAATTATTAATTATATGAGGTTGACAAGCATAAATAATTAACAGATTAAAAAAAAGAAACATGCAGAGCAATTGTAAATATATAGGATAGGCTTCTTAAAAATAGGTTTAACTGATTTCATGTTCATTTGATTCAATTATTTATGAGCAGATCATCTACTTATCAGATTAAACATTGACTGAGCCAATGAATACCACAGGTTGGTTTGGATTAATCTGTGGCACTAATCTTATTTTGTAACTGTTCCTCTTCATTTACCCAATCCTCAGGACAAATAAACAAAAAAATATTAAACAAATTAAAAGAGGCTACGGCTGCTAAACCACTCTCCTGACAAAGCTTGTTTACTTTCATAGGCGTTTTTTTGTTTTCCGTTTAATCGTACAATATTAAAATTGCCTTTATCTTAAAAAACCTATTTCATGGTATTCTAAAAAAAAAAAAAATAAAAATAAAAATAAATAAATAAAAATAAAAAAAATAAAAAAAAAATTAAAAAAAGTTTCTTTACAACTTTTACAGAATTTTTTTTTTCTTTATTTACTTTGTATTAAACTTTTTTTTTTATTATTTAATAGTTTTAAATCATATTTGAGAGAAAAAATATTTCTATGAACATTTGCAAATAAATGTTGAATTGCATACAGGATAAAACATGAAATCAATTTGTGTCATTAAGAAAAATGTCAATGAAGACTAGAGAACATCTATGTTGAATATACTAAAATCAAATATCTATAAACCATGTTTAAAGCCTTAAAATACAAAATCATAGTTAAATAGATATTTTTAAAAAATAAAAGTGACTGAAACTGCTGCAATTACTGTTTTCATAAGTTTTATGAAAATTCTGCTTAAAGCTGCTCCATGATAAAAGAAAAAAATATCTGTTTATATCAAAAGGTTAATTTTATAATTAGTTGGACACAGTTAAGATTAAGCAACAGAGTATCAGATTTGAATTTCAATTTGTAGCATTGCAGCTCAGATCAGACACTAGGTTCATTCTTAGAGTGAGGCTTCTTCTAGTCAAACGCTTGTCTTAAAAATAACCTTTCAGCTAGATCATTACCCACAAATTAATACCATAAGAATTTGTAGCAATAAGCAGATTTCATTCTTGGGTTGTAACTTACTGCTATAGACAAGCGGAGATAAAGCATGGGGGAAGTGAACAGTTTGACAGGTGTCTTCCTGTTCCCGTCGATGCAAGGCAATCTTCTCATCAATCTGCCTTTTTCACAGGTAATGATCACTGTCTTATAGAGATCATTGTTCTCTGTCTAGTCATCTTTGTCTTAAAAAAAAAGTAATTTATCATTATTCACTTGACTCTTTGTCCCAGCAGCTTGCCATGTACTTGTGAAGTCCACTTCACTTAACCGATTGATAAATGTACAAAACCATTTTTGTGACAGGTCAGCTGTTTTCCATTTAACAAGATATCAGCTGACACTGATATTACTACTACATCTAAGTGTATAGGTGAATCAATTTGCCCAGCCTACTTTTCTTTGTCAATTATAGTAGTATGCTAGTGACAAGACATTTGTCAGGCAACCTGGTGACAAACAGGAAAATATGGACTCCTGCTTTTTCCCAAACTATTGGTTTAAAATAAACAAAAACAGCATCAGTTGAAATTTAACCCTTGAGCATTCAACCTTCCCAAACCCTGTTTGTAAATATTGGCTTTCAATGTCCAACCTGTCATAATCTGACCCATGTATACTATATATACTTGGGTATAAGCAGACTTTATGCATAGGATGACCCCCAAATTTTTTTGCACGAATTTTAACCCCTACCAGAAAAAAATGGATATGTATAGTGCAACCAGTCACCAAAAATGCATAATTTTTAACCTCTTCAAAGAAAAAGAAAGACATCATAAATAAGGCATACAAATAGTGAGACACTGAGAGTCGATATTTACAATGTGGGTTTGAGCATGATTAATGTTAAAAGGGTTAAACTTGATTTGACAATTCCATTTTCCCTGCTATAGTAAATCATTTTGTATATAAGCCTTTTAGCAGTAGTTTATATTTTCTATTTTTAATGAAAAAAAAAAAAAAAAAACATTGTTCAAATTTAACATTTTTATAAAATATTTGTTGTATTAGTATTTATTTCTGCCATCCTTTAACCAATAAGTAAGAATGCCATTATGAAGAAACACTTGTCTCTGTCATACATAATATGTCTAAGATAAATAACAAATACTGTCGTTTTATTACAGACAGTATTTAGAAAAAGGACATTTAAAATTGAATCCACAATTATAAACCAGGTTGTGTCTATATTCAACTGCAAAAGCCGATATTGAAAGATTTTTTATCACTTTTGACAA